GGAAATAGACAGGATGTTTTGTTTATAATGGAAAGGTGGTTTAAGAGTCATTGAGGTAATGTTACATCGGAAGAATTTAAAGTTATATCTATATTTATTGTGTTACAGCTCACATTAATTATATACTAGTTGCACCACTGCTTTCATTGCTACGCGCTCATAGAGACCTTAAGACTTGTAAAATATTTTTTCTTTGGGATTCTATTCATTGGAGATTTCATTCAAAACATTGTCTGTCAAGTCAACTCATCCACGTGGAAGAAACACTTTGAAGGCACGACACCACAAAAGTGAAGTTATTTACACTGAGTTTTTGCAAATCTTAAGGTTGCTAATAGTCTCGACATGGACATGAGAATCGGGAAATAGACTACCGTCAATGAATTTTAAATTAATCACTCGTTAGAGTAGTTTGCCATGTACCTTCTTACGGCCCTATGTACCTTTATGTACTCTAATGTTTGATTTTATTTACGATAGTGCATATTGGTTGCCGATTTCTAAGTCACGACTATTATCTTAAAGGGAAGTATAAGAAGTGGAATATGTTTTACCTTTCTTTAGGATGTAAAAACACTATGTACTAAAACTGAGTAAATAATACGAAAACTAATGTCAACATATTAAATAGGGTATCAAATGCACGGCTTTTTTGATGTGAAACATCTATGTTAGTAAGCCCATACCGAATTTGAAATCATATTGATCTCTAACACAACGTGAGTGCGCAATAAACATCATAATTGACAGATAGCGTTGACAATTTTGAAATATCTACTTACCTGTCGTACTAGAGGTAAGCCACAATATCCTAAAAAACATCAAAATCTGGAAATACAGTTTTAGTAAAACGAATGCCATATCTCCTGGACTTGGATGGTGAGAACACCACAAGGAAACAATAAGACAGGTTCTTAGTTTTCTTTTCTTGTTGAAGCAATTTGCTGATAAGTGAGAATGGATTATGGGATTTTGCTTCGAAACAAACCTTTCGCTTACAATGTTATGTTTTCTATTTTCGATTAAGCTTTGAAAAAAGCAATCGGTGAAAAACAAGGTTTTATTATTATATATTTATTATAATTGTTATATTTTAACTGAAGGAGGAATCACAACACTACAGGTTACTAAACCGGCAGCAGTTGTACTTCCGCTTGGCCATTCTTTCGTAGTAGTTGTCCGAGAAAAGAGGGATCAATCATGAAGTTCACCACGCTAGGAAATTAGAATTGGCAGCAATCATGGCTTCAGTTTGCGATGTATTAATCAAAGCTTACGCAAAGAGGGACAAAGAAAATAGAGGGACCTACATGCCAACTACTGAGATCATTTAAAACCCTAAAGTAGTCGAACTTAGTTATCACAGAAAGAAAAATCATTAAAAATACACGAGACATATCCTTCAGCCTTGAACAGTGATTGAATATTGATTTGGAGGCTTCCTTAAGCACATAAATGTTATTGATATTAAGGGTAACAGTGGTCTCCATAGCCAATCACTACCCAGGGAATTTCTCGACGGTATAAATGTTTCTTTTCTGCCTATCTATCACTTATTATTTGGAAATAAATTATTAGATGCTTTGCAAATCTACATGGTGTCTCGCGCTAAGTTGCAAAAGTTGCTCTCGCTCATAGCGATATTCACCGCTGTTTACAATCACTGACGTCAGGGATCTAATTCTCAATCAAATTTGCCAAGCATTAAAACTAATTAAAGATCTCTTTGTTTCTGTAGCCAATAGCTCTCTGGTTGGCACATTAATATCAATAGGCGACGACAGCGCAAAACTTAGCTATTTTTGTTTTACTTCTAAATTATGAAATTGCACCGTCTCCATGCATAACTAGAGACATATATGGAAAACACGACAATAAAATTTTGTTTCTTAAGTTGAAACCACTTTCGATCCAATGTATTGTTATTGATTACCAATGTATATTATAATCATTTCATTCAATGATAGGCACTCTAGCAACTTCTTTGCTCTACTTACCACAAAAACCAGCTTTATCCATAGAGCCATGATTTTCTACGATATATAGGATAGGAAATTATTTTCCATCTTAATTTTGCAAAGGTTAATGGGTACCATCAACGCTCCAGTTTCGAGTTCTCTATTTCTCAGGGTTAGCCTCGATTTAGTGTAGAATATTCATGTGTCTCATTGAAGGTCCGTGGAATTTCAAAGTGTTTGTATTGTTGAAGTTGTGCATTTATTACTTTACCGTTGGGCATTTTTGAATATTCTGACGTCGAAATGAGGCTAACCCTGTGAATATACGAGTCTGTAATCAAAAAACATAAACGTATTTAGTCAAATTTGAAAATGGTCTTTTGATTTAAGAAATACTCTTGCCTACCTTTATGAACTGGACTCCGTAACAATGCAGTCATAACATCACCAAAATTGAGCATGGAATGCATAAAGAGGTGGAAAAGGAAAGAGTAGTGGAGATTTTCTACTACGCTTTTTGGCCAGGCTACTACTTTCTTTATGATGCCTACTACTGTATTGATAAATTACACTAAATACCTTTTTAACTGACACCGCAAAATTTCTATCACACTGACCGGCTTTTATGTATGACTGTATTTGAGATCATGATGAAATATTAGGGTATTGCGTTTCACTGTTTAGTTTTAGTATAAAGCCTGGTTCTCACTAGAGACAAGTCCAAGCGCAAGAGGATGGAAGATTCCGTTTTTCTTGCGTTAGCTTGCGCTTGTGCTTATGCTTACTTCACATTGCGTCGCTAGTGAGAACAAGGTTTAATCAACACCGTAATGACAGTGACAACGCTCATATCACTAAACAACGATAACAACAAATCAACAGCAATGACAACGTCATCAACTACGACAACAAAAGTAACAGCAACATGAGCAACATCAACTGCAACAACTTAACGACTGCCAGTGCAAAGGAATTCAGAATGCTGTTGGGATAAGGTATCCTAATAAAACAAGCAAAATTGACAGACTTTGCTTACTTGATTGATTTTTTCTCTTTTTCTTGAAGGTGGTGGTTAGCTGTGTTGCCGCCGCAATAGTTTTTTTGGTAGGTTCTACAGAAGTGTTCCCCAGATTTGTTTCGTTACATCGAGGTGGATAATAACCGTCCTTGCATCTTGGATTCCCTTGGGAGCAAACAGAGGAAATGACAWAGATTGATTCACAGAAAATGTTACGTAAATATGATGATACTTTTTACTATGCGAAACACTCAATTTCCCGTGCATTATGACCTTTTTTGCGAGTGCAATTACAGAGCGWTAATAAACGGTCTGTAAACCGGTTTTGAACTAGTTTTTTGTCGATGTTAGTGCGAGGAAATGTTCTCCTTTTCGTTTGTGCAGCTCWTGTCAGTGGTTTGAGTTCGTGACTTTCAAGTTTGCTTATTTACGATAAAAATGGTTGTTTTTTATGCATGCACTCTTTCTCAGTTTTCTCATGTCGTACAATAAAAAAATYATTACACTCCTATAGTTGTGTATTAAAGCCAGATAAATTGTTTCCATGTACGTTACGCATTATAGCGAATTATTCTATTTACAGCAGTCTATTGAAGCTTTGCATCACGATCTAGCATATATGAAAAATAATTAAACTTCGATTGGGAAAAAGACTTTTTTGCTGTGCCTCCTGTTAAGGCTGCCATCTCGTGATGATGAAAAGCCTCTATTGCTGATTATAGCTTGACGTATGCTTCAATCAGGGCCTAGTAATGACAGTTCGTGTAGTTGCAATCTGCGTGCAACTTGTTACCTGCCTACCTTTTCTGTACTCACACACAAACATTAGTGCGTATTTACAATTGAGGTCTTTAAACAGTCCTTGTGTTCCGGGGGGAAAGTTTTTAGCCATAATCACACATTCCCCATCACCGTTTGGTTCAATGTTGCTATTCCATTCTGGTTGCCAYTTGTTTATTGAAAGTATTTGTTCGTTCACCCATTTCCATTCTCCTCCTTCCTTTTTCAGGCCAATGTACCATTCATTGGGATACTTATTGAACCCTTGAATCTTTGAATTAATGAATTTCCATTTCTCTTCTGTTTCCATGGTTACCAAGTCACCTCCATCTTTTCTGCACTCACCTCGGCCCTCTCTCCATCCTAATATACGTGTATTGAATTTGTAGCAGAAGCAATCTGTGAAATATAATACAATGAAAGGCAAGAACGTAAGTGACAATTAAGAATTTTGTGTTTCATTTACTGACGTTTTTTAATGACGTCTTTGGTCTTTTGCTTTTGGACCGACCGCACTGAAAACAGTGAGCAACTCTCCCGATTTGGAAAGGAAAGCCCTCTTCTGGAAATAGACGGCATAACTTATTATATGTTTTGTTGTTTTGTTAAAAGATTAAAAAGTGGCTTTAGATTCATCCAGGCAATAATATTTTTAGAAGACTTTAAAGTTGCATCTACCTTCAACTTATATTGAGTTACACCTCACATTAATCGTATAGTTTTACCACTTTACAACGTACAGTGTTAAAGGTATATGAAAAAAGAAACTATACAAAATATTATTTTCGGCCTATTAAATAGGGTATCAATCAATCAAATGCACTTTTTTGACGTAAAAAATCGATGTTAGTAAGCCCATAGCGGATTTAAAATCATATTTATTTCTAATACGACCTGCGCACTGAATAAACATAATGATTGACAGCGTTGACAATTTGAAGCATCTACATACCCGTCGTACAAGTGGTAAGCCATAATATCCTGAAAAATATCAAAATTTGGAAAGATAGTGTTGATAACACAAAAGCCATGTYTGCTTTGGATGGTGAACGCTAACAAGAAAAGGATAAAACAGGTCCTTTTCTTGGCCAAACAATATTGAAGTACTCTTGGTGCAAAGGACCTCTCTCTCTGTGGATCACATAAGGTACTTGTTTGATGTTGAAGCAATTTGCTGATAGGAATGGATCATGGGATTTAGCTCCGAAACAAATCTTCCGCTCTCAATTTTGGTTTTCTATTTTCGTTTAAGCTTTAAAATGCACGCATTAAAAACAAGATTTTAACTGGTTGAAATCACGACACTATAAACCAGCCGTTTCATTTTTTTTGGCTTGGTGACTTTTTATAATTATTGACCGAGAGAGGTGAGATAAATAATGAAAGTTACTCTGGAAAATTAGACACGCAAGCAATTTACCCGGACAGCTACCAAGGAAAGTAGAGGGACCTGCGCACACCATAATCTGAGGCGGATCCAGAGGAGGGTTGCAGTGGGTACGCACCCGCCCCCTTCCTCCCCCAGATAAGGTAATATCTACTGCGTTATTGGGACTGGAATTTGTGAACATCCTGATCATWAATGGTGAGYCAATTAATWACTGAWATAAGGCTTTCACGTAKTTCCTAAAGGTGAATTTAATTGTAACCTTWAGTGGAAAAAACCCTCCATAATATCAAGGAACCGCAACAGAGTAGGATAAMCACCATTATAAATTATGCACGGTACATATCCTCAGTTCKGCAACATTGRTTGAATACTGGCTTGACCGCAAGCAGAGAATAGTTATTGATGTTGTAGTCAGTAACAATAACGGTGATAAGCATTGCCACTCACTACCCAAGGGTTTTCTCTTAGTAAAATATACCTTTTCATTTCTTTCTTTTTTCTAAAGAAAATATTAGATAATTTGTGAATAAACATGAGCAAGTTACCTAATTAATTTTCTTTTAGTTATTTTCATTTTACTACTTTATTGTGAAACAGCACAGGCACATGTAAAGATTACATGAAACCGCGTGACTGATCAATGGTTCCTTTGATGCGTTCCGTCAGATGCCTTAATATATTCTTTGAAGCCTTTACTTAACAAAACTNGTTTTTTTCAAAAAAATCCGGATTTTTTACGTAGATCGAAAAACCGACCCCAGTACGTTCATGAACTCATCAAACAGTGTCTACAGACCAAAAATGAAGGACTTTTATTTTTTTGATTGTGGCCACAAATTTTCGATTTTGCTCGATATTTCTGGACAGTCGCTMTTAAGCTTTAAATTATCGATTGCTTTTTGAACTTCGTCAATAGCAATTTCATAATCGGGACTTCCTAATTCATCATCCGTACGGTCACTTTGTGATGTGTTTGAAATATCATTCATGTTCTCCGAGTTTAACTTTTTAAAATAGGAGAATATTTCGTCAACTTCAATAGGGCAAGATTGTACCGCCTGCTTTTTTCTGGATATGAAAAATATTCTTTAAGTCTTTCCATAATCTCTTGGAGTCATTCAAATTTAAGTTGTTTATACGAGATTCAAAATACTTTTTCTTTTTGTGTCTACACAGGGATTTAAAATTCTTTTTCTTCCGGTACAAATGTTTTCTCAATAAATGAGCATTTGTAGGATTTTTACATAATTTTTTCCCGAGGGTTCTGATATTATCTTTTTCAGATCTACAGACGGTGTCAAACCAACTTGGGTCATGGCTAATTCTGCTAGATGAATGGGTTTGGCTATACTACAGACATTAATCAGAATTTTAGTAAGGGAGCTAGTCACCTTTTCAATTTCTTCAATAAGAGCAATAAGAGGCTTCTTATCCGTATTTCTTACTTCAGTCTCAAAAGCTGCAAGTTCATTCTACTCTTTACCCATGGGTTTTCTCTTAGTAAAATATACCTTTTTCTTTCTCGTTTCTTTGTAAAGAAAATATTAGATACTTTGCGAACAAACATGAGTAAGTTACCTAATTAATTTTCTTTAAGTTATTATCGTTTTACTACTCAATTGTGAAACAGCACAGGCACATGTATAGATTACATGAAACGTGACTGATCAATGGTTCCGTTGATGCTTTCCGTTAGATGCCTAAATATATTCTTTGAAGCCTTTACTTAACAAAACTGACGCATGTTTGAAATAATTTAGATAGACGAAGAAAGACAAAATGATGCAACGCAATGTACGCGGCGCTATTTCGTTATGCACTTATATAATAATATACAAAATACTCAGTTTTCATTGCTCTAAATCTTCGTTGAAACTATTGAAGGGCTTTTGCAGATCCCTTTAAATGCTTGTCCGACAAGCATTATCTATATTTGGATGGGAATCTATGAGAAAAATCGCAAAGACTTGTATTGCACGTTTTCTCATAACAAATAATAATTTTAGAATCGGTTTACTTAGTAAGATGCAGATCTTAACCACGATTACCGAAGGGGAAAAAATTAAAGTTAATTCATAATAAAATTTTAAAGATTTGGAAAAATTTAAAGTTTCAACTGAATGAACAAATT